TGCAACCCACTGGTTGAAAATGGCTGCTCTGGCTTCTACTCCCAAGTGACAGAATGAGAGTCATGGGATGCCATGCTGACTTGGGATCACTGCTGGAGATTGACCCTGGGGTTTTGTTCATTCCTGGGCAACTATTCTACATCACTAGTCATCCAACACACACACACACACACACACACACACACACACACAAATACAAACCAAACTAATATCAACAATAAAAACCTAACTACTTGTTATTGTTTGTGGCTGGTGCATGGTGTGTGTATTATGTATGTATATTTTTATCTGTCTTAGTTTGTGTATGTGTATATATGTGGGTCAACATGTACCGCAGTGTGGATGTGAAACTCAAAGGATAACTTGCAGGAGCTGGCTCTCTCCTACTATTTGGGGCTTAGGGGAGTCACACTCATGTCACCAGGCTGTGCTGTAAGCAAGCCCCCTCACTTGCAAGCCCGGATGCTATATCTAAATCAGCTGTTTCTGAGAGATGGAGCATGAGAACTTTTTCCTGCTGTTTTTCCACAGTTTTGTAGGAAAGCGAGACAAGTCTGGGACTTGGAGTGCTATAGATAATAAAGTAAACAGTTCAGTCTCTTTTGGTTAGGCACCATGCTTCTTTTTTCAAAGGAAGTCAGTCAGAGGCAGCATCTTCTGCCTCTACTGCTTGTCCTGAGATTCATGGTGGACAGTGTTGAGTGATGACAGCTGGCAGGATGGAGTAAACACTCCTGTCATCCTCACACAAGATCTACGTGCTCTGACCACCCTCCCTTTCACTCGTTCTGAAGCACAAAGGTTGGGTACTGGCTCTGACCACACACAGCTGAGATTCAAACTCAAGTCGTCTGCGTGGAGTGACAGGTCAATTTTCACAATCCCATAGAGGTTTGGGGTTCACAGCTCCTTGGAACTGTGTTCACGTCCAAACTTTTGTAAATGAGTTGACCACCATAGCTGTGCTACTTAGCCAGTTCCTCAACATCAGCACAGCCGGGCAGCCAGACTTGGTCCCTAGCAAGGTGTCAGGAGTTGCACCCCAGGAAATCTAAACTCACTAAAACCTGCTTTGGGCTTTTGAGCCAGCTTTTCCAAGTGACCTTTCTGAATTCGTTTATGTATATATGTAAAATAAAATCATCAGGACTATTTTTAGCTTAATGCTGGAAATAACACTGCTGACAAGTATTAACTACCTATTAACCAAAATAAAATAGAGAGCTGTCAGGCAAAAAGGTAAAATCAAATCAAATCCGCACAACAGAGTAGATCCAAGGAGCCTCTCTCCTGATGCATCACTGGGAAACACTGAAGTGCTTTTGACCAAAATCAGCTACAGAAACGGAGACAGCTATCAGTGAGGTGGCCACGCACCTGAATCACTTTTTCCGCTTCACATTTACATATGCGTGATCCTCCATTTCAAAGTACATGAGAAAACACCGTTTCTAATCAAACGTCAGACTTAATTGGAAAGGAAGTAACAAAAGGCAGTCAACAAAGGTGGGGTTGGGGGACAGGCAGGGCACAGGAGCAGCTCTATGGGTGAGTGTGCTTTTGGCAATGGCAGGCCCTAGTTTCAATAGCCAACACACACACACACACACATACACACACACACACACACAATACATGAGAACATAACTAAATGCTCATTCATGCAACAGGCTACATAACTAATATAAAGGTCACACAGGAAGATCTGTCAGCTCTGAAACATCATGGAGTTCTGCAGGTATCAGAAACAACACCGAACTTAACTCTAGCATCTCAAGAGCACTTGTACCATAGCGGAGATGATGATGCTAGGTAGCCGGGGGCAGGCAAAATAAGTGAGGAAATCTGAAGAAGTTAGTCTTAGGGAAGGCCTCCAGGGAGTGCATAAGGGAAACGTCACTTAGATGGACATTAAATAGACACCTTTCTCCTTTCCTTGCTTAGTCAAACAAACAAACAACTGATTTGATTTTTGGAAGGTGCTAGGAGATAAACCCAGGGAGTTTTGAAGGCTGGAAGTCTCTGTCTTCTGTTACTAAGCATTCCTTCAGTCTCCTGATTTGATTTCTAGATTAGAACACCTTCATAAGGAGAGAGTGGGTTTAAGATTTGGGTTTTAAGATTTACAGGTTGTTACTGTTTGTTTGTTTGTTTTTAAACTTGTACGTATGTGTGCATGCCGCATGTGCGCAGATGCCCTTGGAGACCAGAGGAGGGTGTCAGCTCAGATAGGGCTGAAGTTACAGAGAGTTGTGAGCCTTCTGGTGCCGGTGCTGGAAACCAAACTCTGGTCTTCTGGAAAAGCAACATGTACTCTTCACTGCTAAGCCATCTCTCTCTTGTGCTAAACCTAGTTTTAAGTAAGAAATTTTAGTAGTGAAATGTACAGATGTACGCCTTAGGGCGTGTGAACTGTATTTCAGAACTGTATGTTCAGAGCTGAAGAGACGGCTCGGCAGTGAAGCCTATTTACTGCTCTTGCAGAGGACATAGGTTTGGTTCCACCCCCTAAATGGTGGCTCCCAACTATCTGTAACTCTAGTACCAGGGGATCTGACGCCTTCTTTTTACCTCTGATGGCACCAAGCATGCATGTGGTACAGAGATAAACATGTTGGAAAAGCATTCCTATACACAAAAATAAAAGAAAACAATGTGTGCTCAAATCTAAGAAAATTATAATAGGATAATGAAAAACAATGGTTGATTCAGCCTTTTAAAAAACTGTAAGTACACCAGGCTGGTGACACACTCCTTTAATCCCAGCACTCAAAAGGCAGGGCCACATGAATCTTTACAACTACTGTGTTCCATGCTACACTGAAGAGGCTCCTACTTAAAAAAAAAAAAAAAAAGTAAATAAATGAAGTGTGGTGATTTATTGTAGAGACAGGAGGATCAAAGAGCTCGAGGTTATTCTTGGCTGCACGTGGAGTTTGAGGCCAGCCTGGGCTTCATGAGATCCTATCTCACGAAAACAAAAAAGTAAATAAATAACTTATAAATAACAGAATCTATAAATAAAAGAAGAATTAAAAGCTTTTATTTATTTTTTTGTAAGAAATGCAAACCACGTAGCTCTGACACAAAGTGCACAGGCAGACGATTACGTTTTCTTGTGTTTTAAAATAATTCCTATGGCTTTGAAAGCATAGTAAAGGCTCAGGTTAGTTTTCTCTTCTTCAAATATTGTTAGAGTTTGTACTTTCAATTCCTTGAGAAAAGCATTTTAGGAAGTGCAGAGGAAGGCATGATGACCTTAGCACTTGGGAGGCTGAGACCTAAGGAGTGTCAAGAGTTTCAGGCCAGCCTGGGACTGTATCACAAAACCCGGTCTCAAAAATACCAAGAGGCCAGAGAGACAGCTCAGCAGGTAAGGGCCCTTGTCATCAAGCCCGTCAACGTGAGTTTGATGACCCAAATGTGATCACGTGTCAGGAGAGACCAACTCTTCCAAGTTGTCCTCTGACCTGGGCTGCCAGGCATGCTTGAATCCACACATCCACCACCACACAGTAAGTGATAGAGAATGAAAAACCACAAAAAGAAAAGATTTCAAACCAGTGACTGCCTATATCTATCACCCTTCCCCCAACTCACCATGTAGCTCAGTTTGATCTGAGGCTTGAGACTATCCTTACTCAGCCTCCTGAACGTTTCTCTTCCTTAGAGCCTAGTTAGTGCTGTTGAAAACTATCATAATCTCTTTAAAATGGAGATCAGAGAAATAAGTAAACTGTGGGTTCATGGAAGTAAAACAAACGAAATAAGACACAGGTGTCAGCCAAACTGAAGTTCATAAAATAATTTTTCAAGAACTATAAAAAGTATGTAAGAAAAAACAAAAAACCGCAGACACTAAATAACCGTCTTACAGCCATGGTCAAATCAAATCTGCTGGGCAATTCCCAAACTCCACACACACACCTTAACATTTCAAAATGCAAGCACTGGATTCACCCAGTCTTGTTAAAGCGTTTCCCAAAGTTTTAGAAACGAATGCATTGCAGAAAGGCTATGAAAACTATGAAAAGAGATAAAAATTATAAACACAGAAGAAGGAGTTATGCTGCTTGCTATAGATCAAACTTTTACAGAAATTCAATCCCAATTTAATCATTTCCCAACACGGAACAGTAATTTATATGCAACAAGTACACGTTTGAATCCGATCGCTTACTACCGTGTACTTACTTTGCTTTCTGCCATTTATAAGCTTCATTAAAGACACCCACAAAGAGGTAACCAGTGGAATGCAGTTAGGCTGAGATAAGGGGGAAAAAAGTCGTAATCTCTACCTACAAACTGACATCCCAGAACGTCAGGTGGGGAAGGTACCCTTTACAATCTACCATTATATATACAAGCCTCAGATTGTGAAACAACGCACTTTTCGGAGCTGTACAAATACAAATACTCAACTCTGCCCACTCCAAGGTGGGGAAAACCCACCTGCCGTCCTCATTGGTCCACACAGTTCCGGCCCACATGGTGTCAGTGGGTGTTTCCCTCTACACAGGCCGTCTTACTGGCTGTGTGGAAACACTGTTTAATAGGCTGTGATTTGGGGGATTGTCAAACTCCACGCCTCCTTAAGCTTGCCAATGGGCCCAAGATACTGGCGGTTACTCTGCGATTCAAAGGGCAAACTGGAAGCCCGAGTTGCACGCCCCAAAAGATGTGCTCGGAGAAGGGAACAGTGAGCCGGGGGCTGTGCCAGCCCTCCCGCCCTCCCCCTAGTCCCTGACCCAAGATCAGTCGGGTGTATGCCCCTGGCCACCAATAAGAGTGGGCAGTGCGTTCGCCTTGCCTCCACCGCGACCGAGGGAGCAGCTACAGCTAGTGTATGACCGACCCACCAGGCGGATAGGACTAGCCAGGCGCCACCGCGGGCCGCCACCTAGGGCGCCCGACGCCTCTAGGGAGGACGCAGTCCAGAGCGGCGCTCTGCCGCCCCCCTCGACCGCAGGCACCGGCGTTTCCCTGCCGGCAGGACTTACGCGGCCTGTTCTTCCTCCCGGAGTCCATCCTCCTCCGCAGCCGGCATTTCTTGGCTGGAGAATCATGCTGGGTGAACAGCGGCTGCGGCTGCAGCTCGGACGGGAGCTGGAAGCGTGGGGGCGGCGGGTCGCGGCTGCAGGCGGCCGGCGGGTGGAAGCCGTTGTGCAGCAGCCCGTTCACGGCGGCCGCGGCGCCCTCGGGGGCCCCCGGGGACTGCAGGGCCGCGCGCTCGTGCTGCGCGCCGCGGTCTCCCATGCCCGGGACCGGCGGGGCGGTGCGCGGGCTCCGGCTCAGGCAGCCTCGCTGGAGGTCACGGTCGGCCGTCCTCCGGTCTTCCGATCCACCCTGCGGCTTGCTCTCCCGCAGCCTCGGCGCCGCGGCCGGGGGTTGGCGGCTCGGGCGCTCCTCCCCTCCTCCCGTCGGCGTCCCCACGTCTTCGGCGAGCTGGGGCCCGCGCGCCGGGCTTGCTGCTCCCGCCCGCAGCGTGTCGGCATCGCGCGCCGCTGCGGGAACCTCCGCGGACCCCGGCCGGGGAGCCCGCCTCCCCCTCATTCCAAGGCCGAGCCACTTCAAATGCGGCTTCCTCGCCTCCCAGACCTGTCCCCGCCACTGAGCATGCCCAGTCCTACCCGCCACCGCCACCGACGAGCTTCAACGTGCGGAATGAAGTTCTCGGGGTTTGCGAAGAGGAGATAGGCGGATCGGGCTTTGTGTGGCGGAGCGAGCCTAAAGGGTACTGGGTGAGGTAGGCACGAGACCGCCAGAAGCCTCGAGAGGAATGCCGGAGGAAGCCAGATATTTGCAGAGGTTTCAGGTTTGCTAATCCTATCCCCAGGGGGCTAGTACCTTCACAAGGTCACCCATGCTCCCATCCCCGCCCCCCGAAAGTGTGTGTGTGCTGGCGCGCGTGCGTTAATGTGACCAAACTACTCCCAGGTCTGAAGGGAGGGAAGAGAACAATTATTTATAGAGAGGTAGGCAGCCTTGGAGAAGGAGGGGAGTGAAATTCCTTGGCTGGCACACGCACACAAACACCATGTGTTCTCGAGTTAGTTGTCTTTTGCAGAGAGGAAACCTAGGAAGAGAGAGTAAGGACAGTGAAGGACAAAACTAGGCAGGAATAACCGGTGCTGGAAGAAACCAAGTAAACAGAAAGGATCCCAAGCTATAAAAAGTACATTCCTCACCCAGAAAAGACCGGCGCGGGGACAATGCCCTGTTCTGTTATTTATGAAGTAAAAAAAAAGTTGCCCTGGTTATGAGAAAGGGAACCAGCACCATGGTAGCCCCCAGAGTTGTCCCTCAGTTCCGATTCCCACTGTCATTGAGCAAAAGACAAAGTCAGTATTTAACACACCTGTTCTAGGCAGTGCCAGTAGGCGGGACACAAATTTAAAAAGTACCTAATACAACCTTTGCAAATAATAAATGCTCACAAGGGTCTAATGTAAACATTAAAGTCAGGCTGGGAATAGAACAGTAGGATGCTTCTTACCACTGGATTCTATCTGTACCAAGGAATAGAGAGAACATAAAAACTGCAGGCCATTGTTTCAAGCTACTATGAATACAGCATGCAGAGGCCAAGACCCTCACTGAAGTTCCACATCGCCAAGCTCAAACTCAACTATTTGACCCTCTGAAAACATGTATATTAAAGACATGGTCCCCAAAGTCCCCAAAGGCCAGCTTCAGCAGTATGAACTTCCCTCTACCTCAATCCTAGCAAAAGTGACCTAAATCCTCCATTGGTCCAGAACTGCCATTAGCAGTACCCAGGGTTTATATTTCATTTAAGGATTTCTTCCAGCAGAGCCCTTCCCAAAATCAACAGGTTTAGAATCCATGCAGCCTCTCTCTTCTGTCCACCTGTCTTTTCAAATAAGGAAACCAAGGCACTAGAGACATAACTGAGATTGAACTAGAAACCAAAATCTAGAACTCAAACATAATCCCTATCCTCTCTGCTTCCTTGAATTTATATAATTTGACGACTATGAGAAGTTACCTTAGGTAATCTAGCCTCAGCCCATCTCCTGATTTTAGTCCAGTTCCCGGCAACTTGCTCCTTCAGGCCTGTAATCTCTCCCTACTCCTCTAACCCTTTATACCTCCTTATTCTGGCTACAAAAATACCCATAGCCTACCTAGTGACACAGGCCTGCAGTCCCAGCTACTCAGGAGGCCAAAGGAGGAAGACCTCAAGTTGAAGGCCTGCCTTAACTACTTAGTCAGTTCAAGCCAGTTTTCAATACTTAATGAAACCCTGTCTCAAAATAAAGAGACGCTGGAGATGTATAGCATTTGGCTAGCGTAAGGCTCTAGGTTCTGTCTCTAGTACATGTGTTCCCTTATATCTAGATGATCATAGTGTTGGGACATCAAAGATGAAATGAAATAATATAAATGCACAGTCACTCGGAACTAAACAAGGGACTGCAATCTTGGGGCTTCTCACTTCATGCAGTAAATTTGCTAAAAGCTTCCACTGCCACATTTCAATATGCAAATTCTCACAGAAATATGCAATTCTGGGAGTGAGTATCTAGAGCTTCCTCAAGATACAATGATAGAGAGTCATCTGCCTTAACAGAGTGTTCGAGGGACACTTAACTGCTCAACCAAGCAGTGGGGAGACATGGGGACCAAGTGGAATGTGACTGTGCATTCTCATCTGCGCTGAGTGGATTGGCACTGTAGTTCCTTCAAGGACACCTCCTCCAGCTTGATTTCGCAGGCGTGGTGAGGGAGGTCTGAGCCAAGTGGCTCAGACCCAGCCAGGGCAGAAGTCCTAGTACAGAAAGTCTCTCACCTGCTTCCCTTGCAAGCACAAGCCAAGTGACATCCCACAGGTTTATTCAAGGGTATGTGTAGGTGGTGACCATGAACCATCATGTGCTCCAGGACAGCTGGAACAGTGAGGAAAGGGGAGCCCCACAATCCTCTTCTCCCCATCTCTGCTCATTCACTATCAACCATTTATTAAGTGTGTATGGTGCTGAAGACCTCAAAACAGACTCCTGGGATATGAAGGCAAAATGGATGCCTTTACTGCGCTCGGAAGGTTACAATATACTGGAAAAACAATAGATCATTCATTGGTTTTCTCACTCAGTGTCAGGACAATAAGCCAGAGTCTTCACGCTTCTTCTTCTTCTTCTGTTTTGGGGATTGAAACTGGGGTTTGACTAGGGCTCAGCCAGGCAAGCCCTTAATCACTGAGTTAGAACCCCAACTATCTTTTGTATTTTGAGGCAGCGCTCACTAATTTGCTAAGGCTGGTCTTGAACTCACTCTGTAGCTGAGCAGGCCTTGGATTTACGATTCTTTCCCTTCAGCCTTCTAAGTACGATTACAGGTGCCGATAAATCCAGTTGAAAATTTCTACATTTCCTGCTGGTTGTTGTTTGTTTGATATCTCACTGTGTAGCCGTGGCTCTCTGGCCTGGAACTAAATTTGTATACCAGGGTGACCTTAAACTTTTAAAGTTCTGCCTGCCTCTGCCTTCAGAATACTGGGATTAAGGGCATGGGCTGCCACACTCGGCATTTTGTTCTTGTTCTGTTAGTCCTTGAGCTTGCTTTGTAGCCAAGAGTGGCCTGGAAATCTTGATTCTATGGACTCTTCTTCCCAATTTTTGGGTTAAAGACACTACACCCAACAAAGAATTTTTACGCTTTACCTTTCTTTTTTAAAAGAGGACATTGGAGTTGACAGTGGGTGTGGTGGCTTGTGTGTGGGATGCCAGCACTCAGAAGGCTGAAGCAGGATTGCCCAAAGTTCAAGGCCAAAAGTACTGTGTAGTGAGATTCTGAGAAAAAGAAGGAACGCTTTTGCCACAGCCTCCCACGCACGTGGACTGTAGCATAAACCTGCTTGACTACGTTTCAACCTTCTTTCTCTCCCTCCTTCTTTCTGCCCCTCCCCAGCATCCTTCCCCTCAGGCTGCCTCCCTCTCTTCCTTCCTTTCTGTGTGGATCTGGTTGCATAAATACTTGGAGTTTGTAGTGCCAGGGGATGGAATCTAGCCGGGGCAGATGGCCAATCACTAAGTATGACCTTTGCCTTGTAACCTGGTTTTATTTTTGTTTATTTGTTTGCTTGATTTGAGGCTCCATCCCCTCTCTGTGTGACTCCCTGTGTGCCCCTGCCTGGCCTGGAACTCTGTGTAGACCAGCTTCCCTTTTAATTGGAAGCAAGTCTCTTCTCTACCTCCTAACGTCATGCCCTAACACTTGGAACAGTAACCTGATTTTTAATTTATCTATGTTGCCTTTTGTTGTTGTGTTTTTCTTTCCTTCCCTTCCCTTCCCTTCCCTTCCCTTCCCTTCCCTTCCCTTTTCTTTTCTTTTCTTTTCTCTCTTTTTTTGAGGCAGGCTCTCACTATGTAGCCCTGGCTAGCCTGGAACTTGATGTATAGACCAGCTGGCTCTCGAGCGCTGGAATTAAAGGTGTAAAAGTTGTATGACATCACACCTACCGTCATGTTACTTTTTGAGACAGAATTTAGTGATTCTATGTTGAACTTGCAATTTATTCTTTGTAAATTAATTTTTAGGTTAGCATACAAGGTACTGAGTTTTGTATTATTACACTACATTCCCATTTGTCCCCTATCTCATCCCCACCCCCTTACTGTTAATCTCTGAAAAAAAAAAAAGATAAAACCCATCCACTGTGCTACCATTATACACTCTGACTGTACAGATTTTAGTTACTTGGGAAAATAATAATAAAGTCAAATATGGGGTTAAGGAGTTAACTCAGTGGTTGAGCGCTTGCCTAGCAAGCACAAGGCCCTGGGTTTGGTCCTCAAGGTTGCGGGTAGACACAAAATAAAATCAAATGTTCCCAAGCTTAAACTGGTAAAAAAAAAAAAAAAAGCAAAACAAACAAACAAAACAAGGCTCCATCACCAGCTTTGCAAAACAGGAAGCAAAATAAAGAAACACAAAAGGAAAAATATACACCCCTGTGCTTTCCTGCTTTCAAGACCTATGAGCTCTGAGAATGGATACAGTGGAGTCCCATCTGTTGTTAAACACAGGACTTTAAAAGGGATCTAACAGAAAAGTGTTCACTGAGCCAATAGAAATGTCAGAAGAAGAGTCAGGTTCTGAGCCAGAGTTCAACATCCACCAGCACATAGTCTAGACAGACTTTGGAAAGAGTCTGTCAGGCCTGGAGTTCAGAGGTGTTTTTCAGTTCCCTCCTGGCTTTGGCTTTGACACAGGATCTCACTGTAGCCTTAAGCTTGTGACCCTCTTTTCAAATGCTACGATTAAAGGCATGAGCCCACAGGCTGGCTTAATTTAGTTATTTTAGTTGTCTTACCTGTACTTGGCTTTTGAGACAGGGTTGTACTTTGTAATCTTAAGAGCATGCCACCAAATTCTTAAAACCCTTGGCATTTATTGCGGGTTATTTATTGAGTGTTTTATGTGAATGACAGTGTCCTCTCCCCTCCTTTTTTTTAAAATCATAACTGATTTTATTCTAATTAGAGAGCTCAGGGTGAAGCCAGAGACAGGTACACCAGAAAATAAGGCTA